CAACCTTCGGAACGCTCAAAACAACATTAAAACATCAAATTTGCATTGAATTCAAGCCTAAGAATTCCAAAATCTTCCGAATTACGCTTTTGATCAAAAACCCAACCAAACCACGTCCGAATGACCTAAATTTTGCACACACATCCCAAATGACACAACGGAACTACTGCAACTTCCGGAATTTCATTCCGACCTCTATATCAAAATCTCACCTATCAACCGGAAAACGCCGAAATCTTAATTTCGCCAATTCAAGCCTGAACCTTCCACGGACTTCCAAAATGCATTCTGATCACTCTCCTAAGTCCCAAATCACCTAACGGAGCTAACTAAATCATAAAAATTCCGATCCGAGATCATATACAAACAAGTCACATCTTGGTCATACCTTTCAAATTTCTAGCTTCAAACTGAGAACTGTTCTTTCAAATTCATTCCAATTACCCTGAAAACCAAAACAAACAATTTACATGATTCTTAATACATCATACGGGGCAGGTCATGCCCGAGAACTGACGAGCCAGGTGCAAAAGCTCAAAACGACCGGTCGGGTCGTTACAGTTTTTTTGGCAAGTAAAGATTTTATTTACCAAATAATATTTACAAAACATAAGAAAAAGAGAACACAAAATGGACATACAGCCCTAGGAGTGTAATCTTTAATGACCTTCATTATCTATCAAAAAAAGATCTTATACTAGGATACATCAGTTAAGCACACAGATAGTAATCTAATTCTTGCAATCTTCTTGCTAATTTCTGCTTCATTCCTCCTCTACGATGTATCACTTGTACAATAGCTCCGATCAATACTGCTACATTTCTACTCTTAGCTTGAAAGATCCTAAGGTTTCTCTCCTACCATATATAATATATGGATCTTGCTACGCTCATTCTGTAGATATCAACTACTGCATTTTTGCCCCTATAATGTGTGATTGCCTATTTGTAATGACCCAAACGGTTATTTTGAGCATTTGCATTCCGTTCAACTGTTTGAAGTCTTGAGTAGCTTCATATGATGTATTATGACTTGTGTGAATCCTCAGTTTTGGTTTTCAGGTGTTTCGGAATTGATTTGAAAGAATGATTTTCAACTAGGAAGCTTTAAGTTGGAAGAGCTAGCCAAGTTCGACTTTTGTGTATTTGACCTCGGATCAGAGATTTGATAGTTCCGCTAGGTTCGGATGGTGATTTTAGACTTGGGTGTATGCCCGGACTTACATTTGGATATTTTTAGAAGGTTTCGACACTATTTAACAAAAGTTGGAAATTTGAAGGTTTGGAATGTTCATAAGTTTAACCGGGAGTTGACTTGGATGATATGGGTTCGGATTATTGTTCTGGAAATTGGAATAGCTTTGTTATATTATTTGGGACTTGTTTGCAAAATCTGAGTTCATTACGGGTTGATTCGATATGGTTCGACATGAGTTTTGGAAGTTAAAAGTTCAAAAGTTTATTTAGTTTGATTCGAGGTGCGATTTGTGGTTAGGATGTTGTTATGTATGATTTGAGGCCTCGAGTAGGTCCGTGTCATGTTTTGAGACTTGTTGGTATGTTCGTACGGGGTCCTGAGGGGTTCGGGTGAGATGAGGACGTCTTTCGAATCATTTTTCATTTATGTGTGATGGTTGGTCTTTGCTGGATCTGGTGTGGTCGTACCTGCAGGGTAATGGGCGTAGGTGCGGTCACATGGGCACAAAATCGAATCAAGGCTGGATGAGGAAGACTGTAGAAACAGATAGCTGGGCGCATCTGCGCATCCGCAAGAGTGGGAATCTGATCGCGGAAGCGAATGGCAGCTTGGTTGGGAGTTTGGTGGAGTCCACAGAAGCGGCTAATATTTTTGCATATGCAAAGGTGCCTGGGCAGAAGCTTTATTATCAAGGGTTTGGTTATTTTATTCACATTTTTAGCCTGGGAGCTCAGATTTGGGCGCTTTTGAAGGCGATTTCACCACCTAAATTGGAATCAAAGTAGTATCCACTTTCTTCCTTTGCCGATATCCTAAGATCAATTTCTTGACTAAGTCATTGACTCCAATGCAGTCAATACCACCTTCATTCTTCCTTAACTTTTATATATTGCCTTATCTATGTGTTTTCAATAAATTCCAACCATATCCATTAGAAAAAAATTATTGTTTGCCTAGATTTTTAGGATATTTTGTGTCATTGATAACAGTTTTAACTCCAGATCAATTCAAATCACCTTCAATCTCCCTCAAATTTTTTATATTACCTTATCTATAACTTTTCAACAGATTCCAACCATATCCATTGAAAAAAAACCTTTTCTTGCTTATATTTTTTAATGTTGAATATTATTGGCAATTGTTGTGGCTATTTTGGTAGCATGGCTTAATGAGTAATTGTTGGTAAGTAGTATTTATTTGTGCCTTATTTTTGTAGTTCTCTCGAAAACAATGACGCAATACGAGAAAAACCAGGAAATTTGGCAGCCATTCGACCCTTCAAATGGCAAAAATAACTCAACTTATTGTTATTTACATAATTTAGCGTAATTTGACATTTTAATATAAAAGATTGACAAATTATAGCTATATCTAAAAAGTTCACTGCTTCCTCCTCACCCGTCATCCTCACTGTATAGGGTAATATTGGTTATTAAATGATCGAATGATAGCGTGACACATGGAACCAGGGACAGGTTGAAGACAAATTGAGTATTAACCAAGACCGGGAACAACAATTGCAGTTAGCACTGGATGGACCCCGAAGGGAGCACAATCAACGCGAACGAGTCCAATGTTTTCCATCGTATGGAATGAAGAATATTGCCGTTGCAGAGAATATTTGCATTTATGGCCTGCCGTTACACATTCATCAATGGCCCCTTTATTGTAATTTAAGAGAGGCTTGATCCTAGGATCTTATATTTTTTAGGTGTAGCTATAAATAGTAATTTCCACAGCTATTGTAATCACACGAAATTCTTGGCATAACTTCTGCTACATTCTATTCTCAAGCTCAATCAGATAATTTTACTTGCTCTTACATATTGTTCCTATATCTATCCTTGGAGCATTGCTCCAGAAACCATGCCTGCTATTTCCTTTGATTTTAAAGCTAAGCCTTATTTTTAGTCTGGTTTATTTATCATTTTTTGATCAAATCAGTTCGCTTGTCTATAAACCACGTAAATAATTCAACTGTACTATTTTACGAGTATACAGTTTGGTGCCCACCGTGGGGCTTAGATAGTTGCGTAATTGAGTTGAACATTGCATTTATTACTAACTCGTTTGATTCTTAGCAAAAAGTTTAAAATGGCAGCTAACATGTCATCATCGCACACAACGTTGAGGCACATGAAAATCTACCTGAACATGAAGATTCAATCAGTGACACCCGCAACGAGGGGGACGTGGCAACTCCAGTCCATGGCGGACAGTACCGCCGACACGTGCGGGAGCCAACTCCCGATGATGCTGAAGATGAATACGTTACTAAAACAGTAAGGATCTTGAGAGAACAACAAAAAGCCATCATGGGCCATCTGTCAAGGCAGGACCAGTTCATGACTGAATTAAAGCAGGCATTATAAGGTGCTTCCAACAACGCAAATTGATGGTGCCCGATTCCTCCCAGCATTTCTGCAAATTAGACGGCTCAAATAGTTGATAACAACACCCCGAGAGGTGAGGTCTCTTTTGATGGTGCCAGGGGGACCAACAGCGGATCCGATAACGACAATAGTAGTGATCCCTTCAAAATTGAACTCATGAGATTCATGAGGGAGATGAACGAGCGGATGGATCAGAATGCGAAGGAGTTTCACGTCCGAATGGACCAGATTCTAGGTGCACCACCAGTTTTGAAGGGCCCAGATTCAAAGTAGTACACCTAGTTGCCGTTTAAGCATGACGCAAGATTGGAGTTAATTCTAAAATGGTTCAAGATGCTGGACATACCGAAATAGGATGAGACTTCAGATCCTCATGAGCATATCACAACTTATACAACGGCGGTAAAAGGGAACAATTTGGCTTGAAATGAGATCGAGTCAGTCCTGCTGAAAAAGTTTGGAGAAACCCTCACGAAGGGGGCCTTGATGTAGTATTCACTCTTGCCCGAGAACTCAATAGACTCTTTTGAAATGCTCGCTTATTCGTTCATTAAGGCCCATACTGGGGCCAGAAAGGTCCCGGCTAGGAAGGCGGACATATTCAGGATCGCACAGGGTGAGTTTGAATTGCTGTAGGAGTTCATGATCAGATTTTAGAAAGAGAGGATGCTGCTACCAGTCGTACTAGACGAGTGGGCAGTGGAGTCATTCAGAAAGGGCTTGAATCCGAGGAGCTTAGATGCCTCCCGATAGCCGAAGGAAAGCCTGGTCGAGTTCCAGGAGACCACATGGGTGGATGTTCATACCCACTATGAGTCGAAGATAAGGATAGAAGATGACCTGTTCGGGTTCCCTACATCAACCAAGGGGCCGGACCGAGACAAGAACCGGGACAAGTTCAAAGGTGATTTTGATGCAGACCGTCGATCTTCCAAAGGCCATTTTTTGCCTTATGAGAGAGCTGAGGGATGTGGCAGCAAAGGGTTTCGGTCCTCGGATAAGTTCACTTCGGATAGAAGAACTAACAGTGGCCGGAACAACAGATCGTTGCAAGAAAAAGAGGTACCGAGGACCCGGGATTCTATATATCCCAGGTTGTCAGATTACAATTTCAACATCAGTGTGGTGGTGTTAGTATCGGCGATGAGGAATATCAAAGAAGCGCGATTCCCAAAGCCAATCAAATCCGATCCCAGCCAGAGGGATCCTAACTTATGGTGTGAATATCATGGGCTCAGGGCCACAAATCCGGGGACTGCCGGCATCTGCGCGAGGAGGTGGCAACATTGTAGACGAACAACCATCTCATGGAGTTATTGAGCGACCGGGCCAAGGACAATTATGGTTGCAACTAGGACAATGCAGAACCCTCAAAGATAGGAGAAGACCCTCATCGGTTGACTATCAACATGATTTTTGGAGAAAATGAAAACAACAGTGTAACCTTCTCGGCAACCAAGAAAACAAAGGTATTAGTGACCCACATCAAGAGACTCCCGGAAGTCACCGAAGTTAACATCACCTTCACAGAGGAAGATGTTGATGGACGTCTTTTGCCGCATAACGACGCCTTGGTAATCTCTCTTAATGTTCTAGATTTCAAGATTAAGCGTGTTTTGGTTGACCCAGGAAGTTTAGCCAACATCATTCAATGGAGAGTGCTGGAAGAAGCCAAATTAATCAGAAGTATCATTTCCGCAACAAAGCTCATTGTCGGGTTCAATCGGGCAAGTGTGACAACTCAAGGAGAGATCCTGCTGCCCACGAATGCCGAAAGGGTAACAATGACCACCTTATTTGAAGTGGTGGACTGTGACATGGGCTACAACATAATTCTTGGTAGGTCATGGTTACATGAGATAAAGGCCGTACCATCAACGTATCACCAATTGCTAAAATTTCCAAACTCAGGGGGAATCAAGCAAATCAACTACAGCAAGAGAAATGGACGCAATATCAATTTCTAGCAATAAAGGGAAGGAACCTAACAAATAGCAATTATAGGAACCGACGCATGCTCTCGAGCCGAGTGAAGATGATAAAGGCGAGGAGTCATCAGAATTGAACCAGGTATCAAGACACTTCCAAGTACCGGAAGAGACATATGCGACTAAATCCACGGTAGAAGAACTCAAGCAAGTGGCTTTGTTCGAAGAATTCTTGGAGAGGAAGTTTCACTTGGGAACGGGACTCAATCCCGAACTGATATAAGGATTTATTAATTTCCTTAAAACTAAGGTTGATTATTTTACATAGTCGCACTCGAATATGATAGGTATCCAACCAGAGGTGGTTATGCACAAGCTAAGCCTGGACCCAAGCTTCCCTCCGGTAAGGCAAAAGAAACGCCCAATAGACGAGGCCAGAAACAAGTTTGTTAAGGAAGAGGTAACTCGACTACTTAATATCAGTTCGAATGAGCGTATATTATAAAGACTTGAATAAGGCGTGCCCTAAAGACTCGTTCCCATTGACAAACATTGATCAAATGATTGATACAACGCGGGGCACGAGTTGATGAGTTTCCTCGATACCTATCCTGGGTATAACCAAATCACGATAAACCTGGAGAATCAGAAAAAACTTTGTTCATAACAAATTTTGGCACATATTGCTATAATGTGCCCTTCGGATTTAAAAATGTCGGAGCCACTTATTTGAAGCTCATGAAAAAGTTGTTCGAAAATCAAATAGGTAAAACGATGGAAGTGTACATAGATGACATGTTGGTAAAGCACCTCCAAGAGACCTTCCATATCTTGAGGAAGCATAATATGAAGCTCAACCCGAAAAAATGTGCGTTTGGGGTTGGCTCCGGTAAGTTCTTGGATTTTTTTAGTTTCACAGAGAGGGATCGAGGTAAATCTCCATAAAGTCAAAGCCATCGAAGACATCCCGGATCAACTTACTAGTGTAAAAGAAGTACAGAAATTAACCGAGAGAATGGATGCTTAAGAAGATTCATCTCTCGATCCTCAGAAAAATGTCATCACTTCTTCTCACTCCTGAAGAATAAGAACAATGACACAAGTCGGATGAGCACGTTTAACGAGAATGATTTCCTAGTCAACATTATAGCATTGGAGTGCTTTAAAGAAGTCAAGATCAAGAAGGCTATATTATCAATTTAGCTATTTAGGCTAGTCTTATAATTTAGGTCTACTTAGCTTCCTTACTAGCTTAAGGGTATTTTAGTCATCTAGCCTAAATAGCACTCTAGTATAAATAGTCCGTTCCTCTCATTTTGAAAAGAAGCTTTTGATGATGGACTGATAAACGAAGACCAAACCTTGAGAGGTTTATGGTATCTTTTATTTCTCTTTATTTACCATGTTTTCTAAATTATCTATGTTAGGTTTATCATGTATGAGTTCATGTTCATACTCTTGGATTATCTTTGTATTTGAATGTTAATTCGTTGTTCTAGTTGATATATCTTCTAGGGGCTTTGAATTGCATTATATGCTTAGCTTAATCCTTATTAGTTGTTATTGTTCTTCATGGATTAGTGTTTATTATAGGAATTCAAGGGGTTTAACTAGTTCATAGTTAGGTTCTTTTCTTTCTCTATTTTAAACCCTAATCTTCTATCCTTTTTTGGTTCCGCATATTTTTGCATTATCCATGTTTTCGATAATATTCCGCATCAAACAATTTCGAATGGACTCCTGAATGTCAGCAGACCTCGAAAGACCTGAAATATTATCTATCAAAATCCCCACTACTATCAAAGCCGGGGGAAGGTGAACGATTGCTAATGTACCTAGCAATATCAGAAGTAGCGATAAGAGTCGTTCTAGTCTGGGAGGATGAAGATATGCGATTCTGTCTATTATGTTAGTAAAATTTTGTCAGCAGAGGAGACTCGTTATTTGCACATCGAAAAGTTGGCCTTATCTCCCGTAGTCACTTCTCGAAAGCTTAGGCCCTATTTTCAGTGCCACCCGATTGCCGTTGTGATGACCTTTCCCTTGGGGAATGTTCATTACAGGTTTGAGTTGTCAGACCTGTTGGCTAAATGGGCAGTTGAAATTAGCAAATTCGATATTGAATACAAGCCTAGGATTGCAATCAAATCACAAGTTATGGCCAACTTTGTGGCCGATTTTAGCCTTGGGTTATTACCCTTGGCCGATAAAGAAGCGGTGATGGTGTCAGAAACGACATTAGGATTTTGGACCTTGTTCACGGACGGAGCTTCCAATGTGAAAGGGTTCGGGCTCGGGGTGGTACTAATCACTTTCCCCCGAGGAAGGACATTAAAACTGTTCCGTTAACTAATAATGAAGCCGCGTATGAGTCTTTGGTTGCCGGACTCGAACTAGCCCTGGGACATAGCTCCGAGGTCATAAAATCAAATGTGATTCCCAACTGGTGGTAAACCAGGAGATTTTCGACGCAAAGGAGGAACACATGAAACAATATGTTTGATTAAAGTTCAAACTTTGCTTGCATGATTCTGGGAATGGTCAATCACACACATCCCGAGAGAAGAGAATGTAGAAGTAGATGCATTGGCCAATTTGGGGTCGTCCACGGAGATGAAAGGATCCCACTCCGGTACTGTTGTTAAGCTTATGCATTCGGTACTGGATGTGGATAATTATTGTGAAGTAAATGCAACCAACCTGGTCTAGGACTGGAGGAATGAGTTCATCGAGTATCTTCGGCACGACAAGATGCCCGAAGATCCGAAGGCGTCCCGGGCACTACGCACCAAAGCTGCTCGTTACTGCCTTATGGGAGGGCAACTATATAGGAGATCACACCAAGGCCCATTGGCCTGGTGTCTAGGAGCCTCGGAAGTGGATTACATCATGAGAGAAGTCCATGAAGGAATTCGCAGAAACCATTCAGGTGCAAATTCGTTCGTACTAAAGCTAGTTAGAGCAGGATAATAATGGTCTCAGATGGAATAGGACGCAAAGCCGTTGTACAAAAATGCGACAAGTGCCAACGCCATGCACAATTAGTACACCAGCCAGCAGGACCCTTGCATTTGGTACTGTCCCCATGGCCATTCATGAAATGGGGGATGGATATAGTTGGCCCATTGACATCGAGTCCCAGAATGGTAAGATTCCTTTAATTTTAACCGATTAATTCACTAAATGGGTTGAATTAGGTCTTTACAAAAAGGTCGATGAGCGCGAAGTGATCGAGTTCCTATGGGAACAGATAATTTTCCAGTTCAGAATACAGAAGGAGATCCAAAAGTCACAAAGTTTCTCGAAGATCTGAAAATGAAAAGAATTACCTACTCACTGTACCATCCGAGCGCTAATGGACAGGCGGAGTCAATTAAAAAGGTAATTATCCAAATCCTAAAAAAAAGGTTAGAAGCTGCTAAAGGTAAGTGGCTCGAAGAGTTACCGGTGTGCTATGGGCGTATCAGACGACGGAAAATAGAGCATGACAGAGACACCTTTCTCTTTAGTATATGGCGTGCAAGCCCTGATCCCGGTGGATGTAGGGGAACCGACCTTGCAATTTTCCCAAGCAAACGAAGAAACAAATAACAAAGCGTTGCTAGTGAAGCATGATCTGCTTGATGAACGCACGGACTTGGCACACATACGGATGGTGTATTAGAAGCAGAGTATGGAAAGATGCTATAATCGGTGGGCCAATCTTCGTTACATCAAAGTAGGAGGCTTGATCTTGAGGAAGGTGACTCAAAACACTCGGGAAATCAATGCTGGGAAGCTGGGTCCGACATAGGAGGGTCCCTACTGGGATTCGGCTATCATCGAAAAAGGATCATACGAGCTGGAAAATCAAGATGGAGTCATTGCCCAACAATTGGAATGTGAATCACCTCAAAAGGTATTATTTCTGATGGATCCCATCAACACTGAAAGTATGTGCTGCACTCTTTTTTCCTTCGACAATTTTTGTCCCAATTTGATTTTTCTGGTAAAGTTTCTAACGAGGCAGCAACAAAAAGCATACTACGAGAGGAACGTCATCGGCAAATTTAAGACCTTCAAATGACAAGGCATTGAAATAACAAACCACTATGGGATGGTTAAATAATCTTTGGCTCGATGACAAATTCCTAATGGGAAGTAAAACTTGCCATCAAACCAAAGGCTATTCAACTGTTCACAAGTTCTTTACCTAGCGGAGCAAGACTTCCAGTGTTTCAATTCGCATTCGAACACTGGGGGGGGGGGATAGTATGAGATACGATGACATCATAACATTTTCGGATTGTTTGACACTATTATGGTTGTCGTGTTGTGTATGAAGTGATAGGGGTATGTTGGGCTGTTTGTGATTGTTTTGACTAGTGTGAAGTCATATATATAGGGGAGGTGCTGTCCATTTCATTGTAAAATAGATTGTGGTCGATACATAATAGTTACGACGCTTAAACGATAACGAGAGTGTCATTTCTCTCATTGTAGACTATGGAGCCGTGAAATTGCATAGCCTTAGGTTGGGAAGAATATACAAGGTATATTAAGGCACTTCCTTCATTCTTTATGCATGATCTAAAGTAACATGAACATAAACGGTACGCTAATTCATAACGGATCTACTCCTAGAAACTAAGGTTGTCCATGTTGTTCTTTCCTTATTAAGTTATTCTAAACAAGTGTGTATGATCCTTAAATCCTACTAAGGTTCATATTGATGGTAGGGATGTCCATAATGTTCTTAGGTCACTCCAAAAGGTTTAGAACTTGATTCCATGAGTCGAGCATGCATTATATATATGTATCTATTTTACTCTACCGAGCCGCACTATAGTCGGCCGGGTACGGCACCTATTGTGCAACCACTGATTAGTTGGGTTTACCGAGCTCCACGTGGCCGGGTACGATTCTACCGAGCCTTATGATGGCCGGGTACGTTTTTACTGAGTCCTCTTTGAGGCAGGGTACGATATGATGATGATGATGACCACAAAGGCGTATGTTTAAAAAGTTTATGTATATATATGTATTATGTATTTCATGTC